ACACTTTCATCATTTTCAAATACGGAACACCGCATACAAAAGTAATTCTTACACCTCAGACACGTATATTTCGTGTTCTCGAAGCAAGAGGAACACATATCTTCCGCTCTTCCCGCCATTTTGTTTGAAAAGATCAAAACAAGTCGTATGCGCATGTCAAACATAAGAATCGTGCAGAACTCTGGGTAAAAATTAATTTATTTAATGTATTTGTAATGTATGCATTAGATTCGGCACATGAAACGGTTCGACGTATGAATCAAAGTTGATCTTTTGCCGTTCTATCCGACAAGCCCGGTCGAATAGAACGGCAGGTCGACCCGAATACAAATCTGCCGGACCTAATTCGCCTTTGTCACGGTATCGCCATCTTGAAAATGACGTAATGCTTTTTGGCATGAAAACGAGGTCACGCGTGGTTCTTGACACACTGAACACTCGAGCGATCATGCGGAACAAAGATCACTGTTGTGTTCCTAAGTGCAATAACAATAGATCAAAAGTGCAGTCTAATATAACCTTTCATCAATTCCCGAAAGACAAAGACTTAAGAAGACAGTGGATTATAAAAATTAAGCGTGATGTCGGCCGGTCCTTCAAGGTAAATGGCCTTTTATATATCATAGTTCAGTTTAGCGTCGTTTCAGCGTTGTTTATATAGCAAACCTTATATTTTTTCCGATATCTTTCAGATAACCAACAGTACAAGAGTTTGCTCTGATCATTTTAAACCCACAGATATAAAAAAAACGCTAACAGGAAAAAGTGTACTCGTTAATGGTGCTGTACCATCCGTTTTTGAATGGACAACTTTATCAAAGAAACGAAAGTCACCAACGAAACGCGAATGCACAACACGTACTAACACAACCGAGATTGATGTCGTGGATAATATACAGCCAATCTCCTCTACAGGTATTTATTTTTTATGAAATCGTACTTTAGGCCCGCCCTAAATATTTCTAAACATGTTATTTTCTACATTCCCACAGTCGAAATTGGGCCCATCGAAGATTCAAGCGTAGACGAAAATGTCATCGATACTAGCAGCCACATGGAGGACTCCACCGTAACTACTGACACCACAATCATAACACCTACTGTCAACCTACATGATTATTTATTTACTGAACCCGAAAAGCCTGTAGAAGAGCTACTTGAGGCAGCGCAAGCTCGTATCGAACAATTAGAACAGCTGCTTTCAAAACAATCTTTTTACAGACAACTGAAAGGGATGTCAGACAAACGCGTTAGATTCCATACTGGCTTTTCGTCATTTGCTATTTTTGTGAGTACCTTCAATGCCCTTAGACCCACAGCTGAAAGTATGTTTTCATGGTCCCAAGTACAGAGAGCACGAGCAAAAAGTGGGAAAGATATAAGTAACATGAGAGACACTCTCAAGACATGCAAACTTAGCTTATTTGATCAGTTTTATTTATGCATTACTAAGCTGAGGCTGGGTACTTTTAATGAGAAACTAGCCAGTGAATTTGATATTTCTATTTCAACTGTGAGTAGAGTTTTTATTTCTTGGGTTAACTTTCTCTATTTTGTTTTGGGAACCATTCCTATATGGCCCTCTCGGGCAAAAATTGACAAACATATGCCTAAGTGTTTTAAATTGTTATATCCTAAATGCCGTGGTATTATTGATGCCTCAGAGATCAAGGTACAAGCACCATCTAGTATGGTTTTGAATAGCAATTGCTATTCATCATATAAGAGCCACACAACTTACAAAGGCAATGTTGTAATATCTCCATCTGGGGAAATTATTCATGTAAGTTCTCTTTTTGAAGGAAGTATTTCTGACAAGGAGCTTGTTAAGCAATCAGGTTTGTTGAATTTACTTGAGCCAGGTGATCAAATAATGGCTGATAAAGGATTTACTATAGAGGATCTATTAAAGCCAATAGGTTGTGGAGTAGCAATGCCTGCCTTTTTGTCAAGTAAGGGTCAATTTTCAAAGAAAGAACTTTCAACCAGTAAACAGATACATAATTTAAGAGTCCATGTGGAAAGGGCCATAAGAAGGGTGAAAGAGTTTCACTATTTTGATAAAGTTATACCTCTTACAGTAGCTGGCAGCATTAATCAAATATGGACAGTGGCATGTCTTATTACCAATTTCCAGGGGCCTTTGTTGCATGAAAAGCAATATATCTAAATATGTATACAATTGTTGTAAAATAGATGGAAGAGTAAGCATCATTTAAAGTAAAGTATGTAAGGATCTGTAATACAAATAGTACTAACAACTTTTAACAACTAAGAGTTAGTTGACATTGAGTGAGGGTACACTACGTATTAGGTCCAACCTAGGTAAGAACTATGCCATCTGTTAACATGTGATGTGGAAGGGTGAATAGTAGGGTGGCCCTATCCCCTAGGGGCACCCTTTTCGTATGTACATGGCATATTGGTTAGGCATTAAAATAAACAGTAAAATCAGTAAAAATTATATTGTTAGTACTATTTTTGTTTTACAGATTCAATGCAAGCTTTCAAACTAGCTTTTTGCAAAAAAAATTATGAATTTAATAACTTTACATTTATTCACAAATTTCATTATTGCCAAATATTATAAAAATGCCCTTTTGGGGTTTAAATACAAAACCTGTTGAAGTCATTCATGTATTTTTATTTATCATGTTTGTACAGAATGTTCTGTTTAATAACAGTAAAAAACTATTAAATGGCTTGAAATACACCCAACTTAGTCACAGTATTTGAATGCATGATAAACAATGAAATATGTACAGCTGTTTGTAAAAATTATGGCGCTTACAATATATTACAGACATATAGGCTTAAATGAAACTGAATTATCATAAGTATTGTATTTTTGGAAAAAATACAAAAACTATTAAATTACCAATCATGAACCCAATGTTTTTAAAGTTGTGGCAATAATTTCTGCAAACAGCTGTGTAATGATAATTACTAGAACAAGTTCTGAGTCTAATTAGGTTTGACTTGTTACATTTTAACATTTTAAGAATGCTGATTCAAATGTCTTTACTCCACTTCCCACCAAACTTTGTCACACACAATTAGCTTGTTACTTAGGCACGAAGTTATTTTGTATAAGAGACATACAATAAATTATTGAACACATGTATTCAGGTGATAATCAAAAAAAAATAAATTCAGTTTGTCCAGCATTTCAGAAAAGAGAAGTTCATCAAAATATACTCGTTCACAGTGAAATTCGTCCTTGCAGTAAACAAAGAAATCGCACCACTGACTTCCTGTTAAACCAAGGCATCCCATAACTTGATAATAATACTTGTGTGTCTTCTTCAATGAATATGACCCATTTCGTTCATTAAACTTTAAATACTGAAGGTTATCCAGATGACTTGCTGGAGAGCACTTTATTTCTATCAGGCCCCATGGATGTTGTTCAGTGTCGTCAAACACTCTTCTGTCTGGGCTACAGCCTAGGTGTGGGAGACATGGGTTTATAAGAAAACCTACTAGGTGAGTGTCTCTGCCAAACTGTGTTTTGTACATATCAGCAGCTACCCCCTCATTTTGTATCCCATATTTCATGGCTGCAGTTTGGATTACTTTTCCCTTTAGTAAACGCGTAGAAAGGATTTCATGGTCTTTTCTTCTTGAGCATATATCTTTGAAATTTGAAGCTGTAAGCCTAAACTTCCTTAGTTCATGCCATGCTGTTGTAGTTGACTGTTCCCTTGTCTCCATTTCAAAGTCAATAGACTGTTGACCTGATATTGCAAGGGAGCTGAAGAAAAGGTCTTGTTTTTCATTGAGCACTGTATCTGGATAGCTTAAAGATGGAAAGTTGAATGCAGGTAGCTGTATGTTAATATTGCTCTTAACTTTCAATGGCTGTTGATAGCTTATGACACAGCCTTTTGGCACCTTTCCAAAGGCCGAGTCTACTAAAATTGGAGGCTCACTTTGTTCATCTTCCCATATTCTCATAAATCCAGGTTGATTGTTGAGATTTTCAAACTGTGGCGACAGCACACTAGTCAAGTCAAGGCTACTTAATGATTGCTGGAAGGGTTTGTAGATCGTGCTTGCCACACCACACACCTTTCTCTTCTTTTTAGGTTCATGCAATTTATCTTTTGGCTTTGACTTTTGTATAATCAAATCTGTCACTGGCCTTGCTTTAATGCCCTCTTTACGACTGGGGATATGCCATCTCTGCAAAAAAATAATATACAAATATACTATATGAATTCAAAATTGCTTATTGTGTTATGTTTAAAAACAGCAGTGTGATTAAAAGGAGTTTTTAAGGAAAAATATTGGTAAGATACAGTCAAATCTCTATACATTAATGACTGTTTTTTCTTATTGTTTATCATCAAATCTATTATTATTATTATTAAATTTTACCTGTGCCTTTGATGTTTTAGAAACCATTGGCGGGACACTTTTTAAGCCTAATAGCTGGAAATGGGCAAGAGTATAGAGCAATCCAAGAACATGATGGCAAAGACCTTGTCCAGCAGCACAACTACACATATACTTGTTGATGCTAGCCTCAATAGAGGAGCTCTCGAACACAACAGACAACTTGTGAGGATCTTCGTTCTTTTTCATACTTCTGAAGCATTTAGCCCGAGCCACTACTCCTGAATCCTCTTCCTTGCAAAGTTTTACTGTTAAAAACCGAGAAAAAAGAGTTAAAACTCAAAACACTGAGCACAGAAACAAAATATTGGAAAGACAGTCAAACAAAGAAAGCTACCACGAGGTCAACGAGGCTCACCTTCAATATCGTGAATATATTCTTCGTGAAAGAATTTATATCCTCTTGTTACAGTGGCTTTGATCGGTAGGTTCTTCTCAGCAAAATCCTCAACAAAAGAGTTTGTAACTTTGGGTATTTTTGTTATATTTTTGTGCCAAAATTCGAGTTCAACGCTATCGCTACTAGTCGCCATTTTGTTTGTGAACTTACCACGCGTGGCCTCGACCTCATGTACAATATTCAATGACGTAATCCAAGATGGCGGGCCGTGACAAAGGCGAATTGATTCAAACGTCGAACTTTACATGTGCCGAACCTAATTATTAGGTTCGGCACATGTAAAGTTCGACGTTTGAACCGGGCCTAAGTTCCTTTAATTTCTTCTCTACCTTATTACATGAAATTTTCGCGACATGTTAATTTCGCGAATTTCGCGATTTGAAAAATCGCGAAAATTAAGTGACGCGAAAATTAAATGTCGCGAAAATAACATGACGCGAAAATTAAGTGACTCACTATATGTCGACAATTTAAAAAGTGACTTTATTACACTATAAACGTTCATAACAATAACTATTCTGAAGTAATGTTCTGGTCCTCTTCATCACTACTGCTTTCCGTCTCCTCTTCATGATCAGGCAGCACATCTTTTGTACAGTCCTCAAACTGTCCATTCACTGGCTCCTTGTAATGCTATTCTACCAGTTGTTTGAACCTTTCAATTGCTTCAACGTTTTTCGTAGATGCCTCCATTCTTACTGTCGCCTCTACTGGAATCTCCAAGCCTCCTTGTATGAGTGGCGATCGTCGAAAGTGTGCGTCTTTTACTGTCACGAAGACATCTGCGCCTCTTGAAATAAGAAATCTTGTAAAGCGACTGATCTCACGTGGTAAATGACCGAGTGTTACATTCGATAGTCGTCCAGGAAGCAATTTTGTCGCAGCTATTGCGTATCGATCGTGTTGGTTGTTTCTTTCATGGATGCAGGAAAGAACGTCTCCAACCTTAGGTTTCCAAATCTCTTTATAAACGTGAAAGCCTCTCAGGCCGCGGGGAAAGGAATATTGGAGAGTACCAGAAACTGAAGCCATCACCAAAATCAAAGTGTCTTACTCTAGCAGGGTTCAAGGTTTAAACATCTAAGGTATTTCCGGTTTTTTGACAGCTGACGATCACATATCCCTGCCGACCACGTTAAATCATTGTGCATTTACAGTATTCTACAACTACACGTGTTTTCTGTAGAAATTACACATGAGCGTTCGTCTACTACCATTACATGTCTTTGTTTCAGTTCGGCTTCTCTCTCAGTAGAGAAGAACCTTCGCCTGAAAATTCGGTGGAGGTAGAAATACTTGAATCACATATACCGAGGCAGGAGGATACAAATTTAGGAGTGGTTGAACACAGGGAAACCGCGGCCGCAGTTGTAAACCTTTCAAGACCCGCCGAGATTTCGCGACCAAATCAACATCCTAAGAGAAATAGGGGAAAATATTTTCAATACAGCGGCGAGGATCGCGTAAAAATTGGGAAGTTCGCAAGTGAAAATGGAAAAAAAAAAACCCTAGAACGCTTTATTGAAGAATTTCCAAGCTTAAAAGAAAGCACAGTGCGTGCCTTTAAAAAGGCATTTCGAGAGGAACTTTCTGCGCAAACAAGACAGGAAACGTTCAACTGGTTACGTCCCTTGAAACGCAGAAACGTGGGCGACCACCGTTCCTTCTCGAGCAGGCACAACAACCAAGCCACCAGTTCCAAGAGGAGTTTACGACGAATGCAAGCTCACTTACCTGTCGGACATTGACAATTGCATCAAGCAACACAATATTCCACCAGAACTGATTCTTAATGCTGATCAAACACCGAGTTCTTACGTATCAGTGGGTCGAATGACCATGGCAGCAACAAACTCTCAGTCTGTACCAATCAAGGGTTTGACAGATAAGCGTAACATCACTCTAACATTTGTGATTTCTTTGTCTGGCGAATTTCTCCCGTTGCAAATTATATACCAGGGTAAAACTAAGGCTAGCCTTCCTCGGAACTTTAGTTTTCCCAAGAGCTTTTGTGTCAGCCAAAACCCAAAGCACTATTCAAACGAGGCAGAAACAATAGGCTTTATTGATTCTGTAATCAATCCCTACGTGGTAAAGAAACGCAGGGAACTTGGCCTTCCACGATCTCAAAAAGCGCTTCTTATCTGGGATGTCTTCAGAGGTCAGAAAACCATGCCACTTGGTTGGTAGAGTTGTATAACTTTTTCACCAGCACTGAAGGAAAGGTTTATGTTTTGAAAGGATGAGAAAAAGCCGGAATAAAGGATGTTTTAAATGGAAAAGAAGTGCTACCCCCTGTTGATCCGTATCAAGACATTTACGCAAACGATTAAACGGCATCAGTCGTGCAACTAAACGGCAACATTTTTTTCCTCGGAGTTAGCAGAAAGGAATATTTAATGTAATGGATATTAAGGTCAATTGACCAGTAATAACGTGACTTGCATTCAAGCATGGGCAGGTACATACCGTGCCTTCTAGACGTTGTGAGAACATCTTTCTTGTTACTGTTTACATAATCAGCTGCGTTTCTGTTTATTTGGACATTGTTGATTAAGTTGTTTGATCAAATTTTCAAGGACATGTAAAATAACATTGACAAAGAAATAAATTGTGTCTCACTCAAAAACGCGAAATTAAAGTGAGTCAAAATGCAAAATTTTCGCAAAATCGCGAAAATAAGGTGTCGCGAAATATGCGAC